GGTGCACCACGTGGAGGTAAGTCTATCGCACACCCCTCTTCTAAGACACGGAACTCTCGAATTAGGTTCCATAAATAAAACCATTAACTTAATGTGCTTAATATATGAACTCTGCAAGTCGTCAGGTTTAGTCAACAATATCGGCTTACTACTAAAAAGGCGGTTTTCAGAATACCTTAATAACCTCTAGTGCTAATCAATAAACAATCGATACCAGATAAAGATGTCAATCCCTTTCGTTACCGTGGAAAGTAGCGTGGGAAGGGTTCTTTTTTTACAATTTAAGTAAAAAGACCTTAAATTAAAAGAGGAAAATTTTTATCTTTCTTAAGTTATAAACAGACATTCTAAGAAAGAAAGGATTAAAAATATGTTTTAAAAAATATGTTTGGGCTGAAATATCTCGTGCCCTCCCCTCCCCTATACAGCTTTTTTAAAGACAAAATTCAGCAAATTGACGAAATTTTACATTTCTACCCCAATCTGAGCGGATTTTAATTTTCGGACGCTTTTAAACAATGCCCAGAATTGAACTTCATTTACGGAGTTGTATAATATTTTATTAACCAATCATCTGATTAAATAGTTGACATCACCGAGGGTTATTCGTTATACTATGACAATCCGTCGACATTATTGTTAGAGATTTCAATTCCTGCTTTTCCAGGTAGTAATTATTGGAGCAAAAGTCATTTCATATCAGACAATTGGAAACTAACCCACCCCCCCCTCCACCCTCCCCTGTCGACGGTAGTTTGCCTAAACTGTCAAGTCCAGTGCGTTCTCCACCATTGACAAGAATGACGGATGACTTCTACACCAAAGCCCGGATGTGAATTGTCCATCGGATTCTACCACGTTAAATCGCATTTATTAATTTGAACCCCTCGACTGCAAGGCAGTATTTTATTATTCTAAAAGAGGACATTTAATTCTCACCAAAGTTGCATTTCTCGAAAGGTATAATTGGTACCTTACAGAAACAGGTTAGCCCTGCACTTCTCTGATGTCCCTTTACTGCCATCATTAAATGGTGGCCTTAAAGTACAGGTCGATCCCAAAGAATGTTATCTCTTTCAGGTAGGTATATGACTGACCTCCCCCAACAACCACCTTCCCCCCCACCCCCCTCCTCTCCATTTACGATCAACGTTGATCTTCTCCCGATTCATTCCGTCTTCCATTCAAAAAGGTGCGATCAAGTTCACAGTGAATCACTCATTTGCAGCCCTAAAAGGACAAGTATAAATCTCCTATTCGTCGGCGAATACATTCTCTCCCACTTTTGCATGACCCAACAGCACCCTTGTCGCACATTAGGCAAAGTGCTGTACTTTCCACTCCCTTCGCTTTATCATACAAGAATTACCACACTGTGGAAATGCGGATTCCATTTATCTTTGCCCTGCGATAGACATACTTAACCTCAAAGATGTCTTGTTTCGCAAAATTGTAGCAAATTCATTAGCGTCTAACTTTAAGTACAAATCTCTCAACTTAATAATGGCATGAAATTAAACAATGTGTATTTTTATTTATATCAAATGACAAGCGTTTAGATAGTTATCATTAGCCCTTTAGTGGACTTCAGGCTCCACAGAGGGGAAGGAACATCAGAGTGAAAAAAAGTCGAAGGGGGGGTGGGTGGAATAAAGAGTCAGACACAAAGGTATAAAAAAGGCGAGGCGAGTAATGTGGAAGTAGTCAAATATGACATACAGCTGGGTCATGGTCGTTTGAAGTCAACTGTTGGTTTATAGAATTGTTTTGGCGTATGAGTATACGCTACCCATGGTGCACCACGTGGAGGTAAATCTATCACACACCCCAAGATGTGTATGTAATTCAGCACATTTTAACTAAGACGAAAAGTGTATGAAAGATTGATCATAAATTGTTTGCTTAAGTTATATTAGATAAATATCGCAACGAAAGTACTTTAGCCATAACTTGAATTAATCATTTGAAATTTTTTGGAAGCCAAGTCGTTGATTTCGTTGAACTTCGAGCTTCTAGAATCTATGTCGGATGGAGGCAGTCTACGTTTAGACAAATCTTAAATGCAACCTTTTGCGATTTGGAAGGTACGGCTGTGTATTGAGAACGGAGGCTAAAGCCACACGGAGAGTTTAATGTGGAGATGCTGAAATAATGACAAAGGTTTTCGAATTGGATATAAGAGAAATGATAACGTCTTATTTTTATTGGTAAATCATGGATTGAGGTTGTTAAAAGCGGTGGAGAATGTTATGGACTCAATGAGCATAACCTCGGACCAATTTGAATATGAATCAAAGTATAATTAGATGTGAGATTCATAGAAAAAAAGTTAGATCCAACAAGATTCAGATCATTATGAAACAAAGTAGCATTATTTCGATGGAACATGATGAGATACTTGAAAGAAATGAGCATTGTTCATTGTTTCCAAGCGCTTTTGATATTGGTCTAAATGCTCAAGAACTTATTTCATTGGGTACTAATTAACTGCTTAACAACAAGTAAGCTTCGTTTCAGGCAGATTTTGTTGCAATGATAATGACGATTCGGAGACGAGATTTCGGTGGATGAGTTCGGACTTCTGAATAAAGGTAAAAATCAGAAGCCCTCCGTATGCTCCATCAGGTGGCATATTTGCTTTGCCGAAGCAGAATTTAGAGATTGATTATTGCTTGAACATGCTGAACTGAGAGAACTGCATATTGAAAGGTTCGAGAGAGTGCCTGAAACTCGATGCTCTTGAACACTCTGGCAGATGGGTACAGCTACATGTCATCATTAGAGCCTGAACCAAAATAGCAGTGGGAGACATCTCGACAGGAGACAGAGGTCAAATGCTAGTAATGCATGAGAAGTAGTGGTAGTTGTTGCGTGGTTTGATCATCCTGAGAATATTTAGTCGCACTTTATCAGAAATAAATTTTTCTTCTACAAACAAACCTTTTAAACGGTATTGAGTAAGCTTCTGTTGAATGGAAAACCAAAGAACATCAATTGGTGGGGGAGGGGGGTGGAAGGTTGAGGGGAAGTATGCACTGTGTTCACCACTGGTTACAACCAAGTTGGCCCACCTCTCCCCCCCCCCCCGGTCCCCTCAGGATGGCCGAAATCCTCTGAATTCAACAAAAGTATGGAAGTCAGAAAACTTCAATTTACTAAAAATTCTGCAAATCAAGGACCCTGTACTTGAAGGCATTCAAATATGCAAGGCTAGTGAATAATTAACCAAACCCCGTCAAATATAATTTTTTATTTGCCTAAAATTATTCCTTACTAGGCAACGAAAGAAAACTGACCTTTTTTTCTCATCCTAAAACGAGGAAATCTAGTTTCCACCTATATTAACTATCAGGCCACGGTTGACTCAGACTAAAGATAGGCTACTCTAACACCTTTTGGTAATTGAGCACATTGCACTTTGGGTTGATATTTGGTGATCACACGATCACCAGAAGGGATTTTGCCCCGGAATACCGATCAGACTGTGTGTGCGGTGTGGGTTCGCATGTTGGTACGACTGGTGAGGGGTGTCTTAGAGTCAATCTATGGGTTTACTCATTCTGAGAAAAAATCAATAACTTCTGGCTTGAAGCTTTGTTTTCTGGTAACCTAGTGAATTGACAATTGGTTCTTTCTACTTCGTAGAGGTTCAATCTAAATGCTTGATTTTTCTGTGTTACCTCTCTATCGAGTTAGTTTTTAGACACCATCTCTCTGTTCTCTTCAACTAAAGATATTCTGCTACAATTACCATCTTCTTTTTATTTTGTCTTTTTGAAAGTTATAGTCGGTTTATAATGCTCCTCCATTTTATGTTGATGACCCAAAAATTTTATAGCTCTCCTAAAATTTCATTGCTTTTGGTAGAAGTGAAGTTACCCATACAAGAGTTTATTTATTTATATCAAATGGCAGGCGTTTTGACAGTTATCATTAGCCCTTTAGTAGACTTCAGGCTTCACAGAGGGGATGAAACATCAAAGTGAAAAAAGTCGAGAGGAGGGGGGGGGGAACAGAAGAGTGTTTCAGAGATGTGAAAGAGACAGACAAAAAGGTGGGAAAACGGTGAAGTGAGTCCCATACAAGTATTAAATTCCTCTAATCAATCTTTCAAACAATGAGAGAAGATAGGGCGTAGAATGCGGATAAGACTTATCCATCACTTTGCTTATCTATTAATTCAATTCCACAATGAATTAAATACGACCCCGATTTCCAAACTTAAATGGAACACGTTGACGTTTAGGTAACAGTAAATCGCACCTTAAATACAAAAGTGATTCATCATCTTCTTCGTTCTTCTAATGCGCTTAAGAAGTTGGAGTGTATGCAATTTTCCAAACTGGTTTGCAACACACACACACGCGTCGAAAAATTGTAAAATAAGGCAGCAATTATTTAGCCGGTGAATTAATCACCCATCGTTAAGACAGTGGGGGCAAAAATGAGGGCCATTATTTTTCTCCTCCCACAACCTGCGGTTTGTCTCCCCTCTGGCAAGTAGATCTGCCCGCAAGAACAGCCCCCCTACAAAATTACCGTAAAGACACGTCAGCGTGCACACAACCGCATGCGTAAAAGCACGCAAACTTCCAAATACGCAATTGATCACACAGGCAGCACAACCTTTACGATGACGCGGCCAAGTGCAATGGCCAATCTCCGGCCTCCAATCATCGTGCTGGCCAATCAGAAAACGCGCCGGGAGATGAGATAGCAAAGCGCGTAGAGGGTAGCTAGAGGAGGAACGAACGTGTATATGTGCTCCACCATTCCCACGTGTGTGTGTATATACAGCTTTCTAGTTTTGTGTGTGTGCATTTGTATCGCGGTTACACCTTCCGGCAACTATTGCTTGCACCCATCCCCACCTCCCCTTTGACTACAGCTGCAATATGAGTACACGTCTTCCCTACTAATCATGTTCTGGTGCCACATTGAGCTTACCCTTTACACCCTACTTCACATTCTATTAATTATTGAAGCTTCCAAAAAATCTCATTCAGACTGGCTATTTCCTTCTCTCGGAGCTCGTATATATTCATCTGAGAAACGGGGGACATATTTCGGCTACTCAGTGGCTAGCTATGTTGGCCAATCTCAGTCCTTCTGTCTCGTTGGTGCACCGAAAGGTGTAAATACCTACGATTTCCTGGGACCGGAACCTACAGATAACCCCAGTTATCAGGACTCACTCACTTCAATGTTCGAAAATACCACTGGATTAATCTATCGATTGGATTTAGATTTTGAGTACCCTGATTGTAGCCGAATGCCCATTGCAGATAACAATGAAGACAGACGGTTGTATGGGACTAAGGAACCTGGACGTATGTTTTAAATTTTTGTGCATAAAAATAGTTTACTTTGGGAGAGTTATAAATGTGCATAGTTATTTCCCAGCTGTAACTGCGTCCTGACTGTGGACGGAAGGTCACCCCGTCTAGGTCACGCACGTGCTTAATAAGATAGTCGTTTTTCCCCCTAAATTCGGGAAAAAGTAGGAAATTTCTCAGTGCTTATGCAGTCTATTCCCAGTCTGCAAATACTTGCAGACTTTCGGTAACTAAGTGTGTCTCAGGCAAAAAAATTAATTTACTGCTCTATTTCACAACTGATTTCTCGGGAGGGGGGGGGGGGGGTTGGGGGATATTTTTTATTTGCTATTCTTCTTTTAGGAAAGGGGATAACTTTCTAACGATTGGTAAATATGGTTTTAATCGAATTTAGACAAGGAAATATGCGAGTGAGAATAAAAAGTGAAATTCCAAATGGCTACTAACATACGATAAAATGAAATGTAGACATTTAAACAGTAAACCCAATTTACTGGGCGGACACATTGATCGTCGACAAAGTATGCAAATCACTCCCCTTTTGAAGTGTGATATTTAGGTTTTTTTGAAATTCAATAAGTGCTAGTTATTTGTCTTTTTTTCTTTTTGTATTTTCCGTAAATGCCACCTAATCACGATCAAGCACCGAGCACCAAATATTTTAACCCAAATCCACCTTTTCAGTTGTGGGCTTTTGTATGTTCTTGTTAAATGTCACACAGAATGGGGTAGAGAGGGAGATGGAGAGAGAGAGCTCTAGGGACTGTCAAGAGGGTTGGTGGTTTTTTTCGACTGGGAAGAAATCTCGAACACTGGAGGGTTTACCTTTTTTCCTGGTTGTGGAGTTGTACCTTAGTGGTTATTGATGTAACTCCCATAATTGTTTCCTAACCACCTATCAGTGGTTAATATCTTTTACGGTACAAACGAATAATAATTTAGCTACAGGTATGTTCGGGCTGACTCACCATTAACAACGCGCTGTCAATTAAGCATTAAAGCCACTTCTGACTTGTGGCTTATCATTTTTCTTTGACACATTTAATAAGCGACTGTTACCTTGACTTTATAAATGAAACCCTTTCAATTTGATAAAATTTGACCTAATGCGAGAACCTTGGAAGTTGAAACCCACGTGCTCAAAAATCGAGTAATTTTCCAATCATATTGCGTTGATAAGTTGCAAATTCTTGAGCACTTTTTTGTCTGAGGGTCCTAGCTCTGAGTCTTAGCCACGCGTTTTTTTCCTAGTTTCTACTGTAATGTCCATTTTCTTTTTAAATAATATCAAAATATTTCTAGTATTTAATTAAGATGTGTGTTCATTTTGGGTATATTTTATTTCGAATTTCATTTTGTCGGTAATATTTAAGAATTGATTATTTGGTCTACTACGCAGACTAGAACTGAGTTGGATTTATCTGAATTCAATTCATTTAAGACTCATTGTCGAATTCTCCATACAATTATATTGAAATCGGAATAGCAGGCTCTCAAGTGAGTACTCCTCAGCATTTATTGAAATTATTGGATGGAAGTTTCTAGCTAATCCAGTTAGAATAAGACCGAGGGAGTTGTTGCATCAGCAGAATTTTCTCCATAAGCTCTTATATGTAGGAAATCAAGCGCAATTTCCTGAAGACAGTTGTTTCAAGGCCATTGGTGACACATTTTTCGCATAGCTTTCTGTATTTCCCTCCACCCTCAGAAGGAAATATATGTGTTAGAAGGCAAGCAAAGACACCAAGAGATGCTCCTTTAAGTACTTATTGGAAATCTCACAACCGGTGGGTCTTTTCTCGAAAATATCAAGAGGATACAAGAGCGTTCACTCTAGAGAGATTCCCCATGTTCTCCTCTTACAAAAATCGCATTCTGCATAGACAGTGTTGCAGGATCATTGGAAAGTATCTCCCTCACGTATTTCTTTCAATGCTTAAATGTTCAAGAATTGAACATATCGTTGACACAACAGTTTGTCTGCCAGCAACTATAAAACCAATAAAAGTATTTAAGTGAAGATTCGTGAAAGGTCATGGAATAAGTAGGCGCGTTGTAACCGAATGCTTATACACCATTTCATCCAAATTTCGATTTCTTAATGAATTATTGATTTATTTATACCGAATGGCAGGCGTTATGATAGTTATCATTAGCCCTTTAG